TAGTTTTCCCTGAGCTTTAGACAAAGGGTTACATTGTATATGCATCAGTTGGGGCTGGGAACACCATAGTCACTTATTCTCTGTATTTTGACCAGTCGTGGATATTTGAAATTATCTATCTGCTGGGGACAAAGAAGGGGCTTCTTTGAAGAGGAGGGTGAGAGCTGCACTTGCCTGTGGGCATAGGTATTTGGAAGATAGTTAGAAACTATATTAATGTTTTAATGGCAGCAGTAGACTCTCTGCTGGGGCCAGTGATCTCACTGGCAATGGTAGTTGGCCAGGCTTACAGTACCAGACATGGATTTCCTCCTACTAGGCAGCCCCAAAGTCCAATCAGGACAGCTATTTGGTTACCTCCCAAGACAAAAGTGTCATAATTGCACCACTGGGGGTGCAACCATTGTTATGGTTCATAAGTTTTATAGCTGAGTAGGACTACTGATTGCTTTTTTCCCCAGTGGCAGCTTGCATAGCACCTTCCAATAATATGAAAGCTAATCCTCAGGGAGGAGACTTCCAGGTCAGTTCCAGCATGGTTCCTCCAGTACTATATCCAAGGGGTGTGGTGTCTGAAGCAATTGAATCTTACCTTCAAGATCTAGGAGGCCACCAAGGGCAATGGCAATGGCCTTTATTGTTTTTAGAATCTCTTGAACTCAAATAACCAACAAATTGAAGGGAGGTTTTGTTAGGTAGTCTGTGGCTCTTGAGGGAAGCATTATCACCCCATATGACATAACTTCATTTAAGAAAGCTATAAAACAGTGTCCCCCTGTGTCTTTCCATTCATGTTAATTATTCTCCTTCCTTCCTCTCCCTCTGTATTACCATCCTCCCTGACCCCCAGGTAAGGTCCCTGTAGTCCCTTCTCTCCTACTTCACAGCACCTGTGTCCTACTATGCCATAGCACTAAGGCTCCCTTTCTACTTTACTGGCTTCTGTGGATACTTCAGGCTATATACTCAAATCCAAAGATTTGGAGCTAAGATTCCTATGCTGTGAATGAATAGAATTAAAATTGTAAAAATGACTATACTATCAGAATTAATTTATAGATTCAGTGTGATCCCAATGGGGGGAAAAAACCTCTGACATTCTTCACAAAAATGGAAATTAAAATTGTAAAAATGACTATACTATCAGAAGTAATTTATAGATTCAGTGTGATCCCAATGGGGGGAAAAAAACCTCTGACATTCTTCACAAAAATAGAAAACCCATATCTATCACCCTGCATGAAAATCAACTCCAAATGGATCAAATGCCTCAATGTGAAACCCAGAACATGGAAACTTCTAGAAAAAATGAGTAGTATCTTACAAAATATAAGCTCAGTGAACTCAGTAAGAACTCAGTTAAGTCAAAAAAGGAAAGATTTGAGTATAGAGAAAGGCCACAGAGTGGAAGTGAATCTTTGCTGGTTATCCATCCCCCCCCAAAAAAAGATCATTAATATCCAGAATTTACAAACTTTAAAAAGTAATCAGAAACAATGGCTAGGTCAAAATAATGGGCTATAAATCTGAATGGATAGTCTCAAAGAGAAAAATTAAAATGACTGAGAAATATTTTAAGTACTCAACATCCTTAGCAATCAAGAAGTATAAGTTAAAAACACTTTGAGATTTCATCTTCCCCCAGTAAAACTGGCTAAGATCAAGAAAACAACTGACAAATTCTCATGAGAATATGGGGAAAGGAGGACCCTTGGTCACTGTAGACTGCAAACTGGAGCAGCCACAATGGATATCAGTATAGAAGCTCTCAGGAAACTAAAGCGAGACCTACCATATGACCCAACTCTACCACTTCTCCATATGTACACAGAAAACCTGCTCAATCATGTCCTTTGCCATTCTAGTCATAATAGTCAGGAAAAAAAACAAAGTAAATATCTTCCCATGATGACGGAATTCTATCCAGCTGTGAAGAAAGATCCAGCAGGTTAGTGGATGGAACTGAAAAATATACTGAGCAAGTTACACCTAACCCAGAAAGATCAATCCCAATTTTCATTCAAGGCAACCAAAGGCCCTCTGCTTTTCTTATTTTTAATCATTTCCCTGTTTCTAAAATTAGATTATTAAAAATCTAATCAGAAACAAGACCTACTGGCACATGCCTGTAATTCCAGCTACTCAGGAGGCTAAGGCAAGAGGATCTCAAGTTCAACGCCTCCTTGGACTAAAGAATGAATTCAAGGCCATCCTGGGCAACTTAGTTAGACACGTCTCAAATAAGGAAGAAGAGAGCTGGGCCATATACTCAGCATTAGATGGTTGCCTAGCCTGCACATTGTTTACATACATACATACATGCATACATGCATACATACATACACACACACACACAAACACATTCAACATTTATATATAAAACAAAAGCAGAGAGGCTGCCTGCAGTTAGGTGGAGCTGGAGAACTCGACCATCTCATGCCCTATACAGTCCCACTCAGATTTATTTCAAACCAGACTTTCACCCCTCACAGTACTGCTCAGCTTCGGACACTCATTAAAACGATCCCGGAAAAAGAATGGGTTGTTAGGGGTATGAAGGTGCATTCAGACAGCACCAAGTTAGTGGAGGCTTAGCTAGATGCCTGGAATGCCATGTGCTACCCAAGCCTGTAAATTTCTAATCAGCTCTGTAAGGCTTCCCATGCCTGCCTTATGCTTTCTGCCAGTGTCAGAAGAGGCCAGCTGCCTATCAGTGATCCTCACCAGGCTCATTAATCTCAGCATGCTCTAAACAGGCATGCTCTTGAAGTCGCTAGAAAGCCACAGCCCCCAGCTTCCTGGCAGGGGGTTTGCTTCTCTTGTGGTTTCTGTGGTGATAGAGAAGAAGACCTGATTCAGAAGTGGATGGGAAGTACCCAGTGTACAACAGAAAAACACAAAGCCTAGCAACTTTCCTTTCCTTTAGTTTTTGTCCCCGAGGGCAGTGCTCGCTCTGGTGTTGCTGCCATCTGGCGGATACTGTGTGGAGCTCCCAATCTCTGGATGTCATTGCACAGCAGTACCATACTGTGAGCCACATACTCTGCTGAGCATGAGCTGTAGGTCTTCCAACTTAGGAAAGGATTCTGTTGCTGTGATAAAATATTCTGACAAAAGCGACTTAAAGAAAGGGTTTGTTCTGGCTTACAGTTCCTTGGGGATACTTTTTCATGATGGGGTTAGGAGTGATAGCAGTGGGAAAGGCATGATGGAGAGAGCAGGAAGCCGGCCAGTCACACTACATCTGTACTCAAGAAGTAAGGAGTGTGCAGGAAGAGGAACCAGACTGTGAACCCTCAAGACTCACCCCCCAGTGACCCATTTCCTCTAGCAAGGATCTACCTTCTATAGGTTCCACAACCTTGCCAAACTGTCCCACCAGCAGGGGACCAAGTATTCAATCAAACACATAAATCTGTAAATCTATGTGGGACATTTCTCATTCAAACCACATAGCAGACATGTACATAAGTACAACCTGTATTGCAATTACAACCAATGCTTAGCTGGAAAATCTTACATATTTGTTATAAGAACTTCAACTGATGGTCAGGCTTCCAAGAAAACCATCACCAATTTATCACTCCCTGGAGCTAGATGACAATGCCCTGCCCCACCTCTAAATAGCCCTGAGATTCCATCTTCCCCAGAGTTCCTGTATATCCTCAGCCCATCCCCTTAAGCCCCTTGATACCTGCTTTATGGGGCACTTTGGTTTCCCTGGAGGATTTGTGGCATTACCGGTGCATAACAAACCAGCAATGGCATATTCTTGACCAAGCTTTCCCATTTGCCTGAGAGATAGGATTCTGCCTTCACTGTCTCTCTTGGCCAAACACATTATGCCTTCCTATTTAATTATGGCTCAAATGGCTTCAAGCCTACTGGAGACAGTTCAACCCATTGTGCCTCCAGATTCCAGTTATGTCTGAACAGGAGGAACAAATGTGTTTAGGGGACCCCTGAGGACTGAAATTTCCTTGCCTCCCAGCTCAGCATATTTGGACACTTGGAAGGCACAGCCTCCAGCTGGAGCATTGCTCAACCCATACACTGAATAAAGGAGCCCTTGAAGTCTTGAGACCCCCAAATGCAGAGTCCCTGGGGTGGGGCATGCTATACCTTGTCAATCTAGTCCTCCTAGTATCTCTTGACTGTTACTAGAAGTTAATGTCTAGCTCCTCAGAATTTCTGGAAAGAAGTTGTGTCTACCCAAGCTGACTGAATAAAACTTCAGTATCTGTGGCGAACTTGGGATGTTGCAGGTCCAGGGCCTAAGCATAGTTTCTCTTGGGTGGTTTTTAGCTCAGCTAAAGAACTTTCCCTTGCCTGCTTCAGTGATAGACCTCAAATTCCAATAAACACATAAAAACCTTTGGAATACATTGACTTAACAAAACCCCTGCTCCCCACCAATCAAAGGATTGAGTGTGACATCAGGGCACTCACAACCATCAGGGTGCTCAGGGCTGACAGCTGAGAGTTTTCACTGTGATGTAATACCCTACTTAATGCTTCCACCAGTGGGTTTGCAAAGTGTCTTGGACCCATGACTTTTTTCTATTTCTACTAAAATTTCATGAAACTGCTTCCACATTGGAACATGGTACTTATGGAGACCTAATCTGTGTTTCCAGTCTATGTCCATCTAAATTTTCTCCCAGAATACTTTGTTTGGGTTTTCATTTTCCATGCACTAACAATTAATTTGGGTTTTAAAGCCAGACCTTTGTCTGACACTGTCTTCTCCCATGTTGACCTAAGTATGATACTTAAGGGCTCTTGAAGCCCTGGGACAAGTGTCTTGAACCACCAATCTCCCTCCAATGGGCTGTTAACAATATGATTAATCGTCAGGGAAGTGAAACATGACGACTGGAGAAGGTTGAAGCTTTGACACCATGGAATACGCCTGGCTGCCGGTGTCCACTGACCCACTTTCTCCTTCCTAGATAGAACCTTCCTTCTGCTCACTCATGTATCCTCTTGTCTCTTTTCAGGACTCCTCTTCAGCTGGACCTATCCCTGCAGCCATCCCACGCGCTGCTGCAGTATCTGGAGAACAGGGCATGTCTCCCAAAGTCCAGCTGCCTCTCAACGTGTGAGCTGCCCCTCATGTCTGTTGACATTCTCTGCACACTGACATTTACACAAGTGGTTTCTAGTGGGTTTTCCAGCTAGTTACTAGCTGTTCTTGGAGTTACACACACATGTGCTAATGCTGCCCAAAACAGAAGTGTGAAAACAAAATCCAGAGAGTTCTCTTAACACTGTTGTCCCTAGGATGGTTAGAAGTGGGGGGAAGAAGAGTGTAGTGAGGGCAGCAGGCATCCTTGGAAGTGTGGGCAGCAGCTTGATATTGTCTGCTCAAAAGTGCCACCCCTAGGCAGGCCAGATGCATACCAACCCCAAATATAATCACATGAATCATTGCTAGGAAATGAGGTGTTTATCTTGTTGAGGAAATTTTTCTCTAGGAAATTATAGCATTTAAACCATACATGGAATTCTAAAACTCCCATTTAAATAGGCTCCCCAAGAATTAGATGGCTTCTGTATTTGGCAGTGAGCTCAGCCTCTTGAATGGATGTTTTAAGGTGGAGTGGATGGATGTGACAGCCATACAGACAGAAAGTTACATCAGTCCAACAAGCCAATGGGACAGTCAGAATCTGTATGGTGCAAAATGTAACACACTGGGGAAGACTTCCTACAATCACCTTAACCACCTAGGTGCACTCCAGACTTGCACATTTGGCCAAATCAGTTAATGTTCTACTTCAGTGCTTCTTAACCTGTGGATCATGACCCCATCATAGGAGTCACTATCAAATGTCCTGTATATCAGATTACATTACAAATCATAACAGTAGCAACAAAATAATGTTATGGTTAGGGGTCACCTCAACATGAGGAACTACATTAAAGGGTTGCAATGTTAAGAAGGTTGAGAACCACTGCTCTAGCATCTTCTCAGACCACAAACCTCTGGTGCAGAATTACATACAGCTAGAGGTACATGAGGGAGGGAGGGAGTGGCTAGACCTTTGTTAAAGTGACCCCTCCTTTGTTAAGGGGCTGTGTTTTAGTTAGAGTTTCTATTGCTATGAAGAGATCCCATGACCACTGGAACTCTTATAAGGGAAACATTTAATTGATGTGGCTTGTTTACAGTTTCATAGGTTTAGTCCATTATGATCATAGTGGGAAGCATGGTGACATGCAGGCAGAGAAACTGATGACTACATATTGATCAGAAGGCAACAGGAAATCAACTGTGACACTGAATAAAGCTTAAGAAAAAGAGACTTCAAATCCCATCCCCACCATGACACATTTCCTTCAACACCTCCCAATAGTGCCACTCCCTATGAGCTTATAGGGGCCAGTTATATTCAACTACCACAGGCTAGCAACAAGCTGTGATTTACAAGGTTTCCTGAGGGTACCAGCTGCTATGATTAAGATGGTAATGACCATGTTATGCCAGTGTTTCAAAACAGACTCATCCATAGTCCTTGTATGTCTTAAAAATCTAAGCCCTGCTGGTGACAAAGCCTGACTTTCTCAGTTAGGCTATTGATTGATGACAGGTCACTGCCTGTCATAGAAAAGGTCCTCATCAGGCTCCCCAGGATTAGCACACACACACAAGAAGGCTCTCAGTTTGCACCCATAGTGTATGAAGGTGTAGCTCCTCTGAAGAGACAATGACTCATTCCCACTCTTTCCCTCTCCCTCACCAAACAGGCAGCTCTGCCCCTCAGTGAGGTGCCATTCTAGCAACAGGACCTACTAATATCTTTAGGTGAGGCTGGGTCAGTCTAGAGCAGTGGTTCTCAACCTATGGGTTCCAACCCCTTTGGGGGTCAATGGACCTTTTCACAGGGGTCACCTAAGACCATCAGAAAACACAAATGTTTACATAATGATTACAGTTATGAAGTAGCAATGAAAATAACTTTATGGTTGGGGTCGCCACAGCCTGAGGAACTATATTAAAGGATCCCAGCATTAGGAAGGTTAAGAACCTTCCTAATGAGGAATGTGAGTCCCCAGAAGTATTTTAGAGGTCAGTTTGGTAATAGTGGACAGCACCTCACTGGCTGCTCCCTGCCTGTGGTTTTAGTTTTCCTCACCAGGCTAACCTCTGCCCTCAGTTGAGTGCACAGCACCTGGTGCATGAGGCCAGTGGCCTCCAGAGCCTGCTCAGTCTTTTGGAGGACATATTAACTCTCCTGTGCAGGATCTCACACGTATCATCTTTGCTATCTCACTTTATGTAGAGAAAGCGTTTGCACAGGTTTTGTCCACCATCTATAGCTCCTAGTCCATCTGGTATCCTTTGAATACAATAGTTGATATATGGGTGTACCATGGTGGCCCTAACAGGAAAGGAGCAGAAGCAGGACCCCTTGAAGGAGTAATGGGAACAGACTTTTTACTCAGTGATGGAGAAATGTGAGCAAGCCACCATCTGGAAGAGAAATAATGTGAAATGAGCAGAGGTTCTGGTGATTCATTCCGTGATTAGAATGGAAAGGAAATCTGCAGATAGAAGCAAGCAAAGAACTCACTGAAGATACATGTAACGGGCAAGCAGAGCATGTGCCACAGAGTTGCACATGGACACCCAGCGCCACACCAGTCATCACAGGTGCCAGCTTGTCCAGTCTGAGCTCTGCCTTGGGACACCAGGCACAAGAGTTAGAGCTGACATCCAGCCTCTAACTATAGGCCCAGCTTCATGCCAGGAGTCACTTTTCCTTGGCCAGCCACACACAGGCTATAGGGCAGCAATGTGCCAATCCCTCCTATAGTTGCCTTTTTTCAGTGTCAGCCTTTGAACATTTGTAGAGGTGACCACTTGAACGTGGTGGTGGCCACGCTAATCTGGAGGTGGTGGGAGACTACCTAGAACACTTTCTGAAGGCGTGGGTCAAGCTCTTAAAGTCTTCTGAAGCAGGTGAAAAGTGACAGCCAGGAGGATGAGAACCATGTCATCCATAAGTACACCTGTGTTTCCCTAGTTCCATGCCAGACTCTGGGCACGTGCATTACAAGGGACATCCACCCACACAGGCCTGGTAGGGTAGCTGAATGATGGAGATATGAAGGAACAGCAAAAGGTGACATTATTATGGCTGTCACTAGGAACCTAGAAGTGAGCTGCTTACACTCTGCAGGGCTAGTCCAGTTTTATGAAGACTGATAGCATGCATATCATTTTTGTGTGTGTTTCATGCTTTCTAACTGAGTCTCAGCAACACACTGCCCAGCCAGCCAGCCAGCATCCCACTCAGCACAGGTGCATGCCAGATGCACAAGGAAGCCACCCAGTACCTCCATCTGCTTTTGTCACCTTTCTGAGGCACCCAGAGAGGGAAAGGAAGGAAGAAAAGAAAGCTTATGTTTTACAATGGATTTTTTTTTTATAGTAAAGTTTGTTCACCCAGCAGTGACCACCTGTAAGCTAAACAGGGAAGACTGAGATTCTTATAGGGGCTCATCAAGCAAAGCAAATTTAAAAGAAAGATGGAAAGATCAAGGGACTAGAGAGGCAGCTCAGAGGCTAAGCAGGAACTGTCCTTGCAGAGGAACTAAGTATGGCTCCCAGCACCCACAATGGGTGGTTCATAAATGCCTGTAACTCCAACACCAGGGACTCTGACACCTCTATCTCTGCCAACACAATGCATGCTCTCTCTCTCTCTCTCTCTCTCTCTCTCTCTCTCTCTCTCTCTCTCTCACACACACACACACACACGCACGCACGCACTCACGCACATACATGTAATTTAAAAGGCCACTCATGTCAGTGTCCTGCTACAATCCAAATGGTACTGCCCTACTTGACAAGCCTGCACAAAGAGCTAGCAGGTGGTGTCACTGACTCCAAAGTTAGGCCTACCCCATGCCAGGCTTGAGGCTCTCACAGTGTCTGGCCACACCCTTGGGCCATACTAAGCTTCTAAATCGAAGGCCTGTCCCTGACTCTGAACATACAAAAACAGTGTCAGTGTCTCAAGACTTTTCCAGCCTTAGTTTTCTGAGCTGTGAAGCCCCAGAGCCCATGCAGAGACTATGTGAGTTCTTGTGTCTAGCATAAAGCAGATACTAGGTCCCTGTCCTCTTCCCTTATCCTATCACCAGTGGCCCCATGGCAAGGCTGTATTTCTGCAGGACTGACACCTGGTCAATAAGATTTCAAACAGTCAAAGCTGATGGTTGTGCTATAAGAAGCAAGCCAGGCAGGTCCTCAGGTCAGCAGAACCTGGAAAGGACAGTCTCTCCTCCTATGCACCAGCACCTCAAGGCTGTCAAATCACCGAGTGTGCAATGCATCCCACTCCTAAGAAACAGTGTACTCTATGTGCAGAGGCTTAATGCAGCATGAAATACAAGTCTATATTTCTAAAAACCTAAATGGTGCATCTCTTGGCAGCTTCTGGACTGAAAAAAGGAAAGGAGTAGACAATTAAGCTGGGACTCTGTTCCACAATGGTGCCTGCAGGCTCAGTGCCAGGTAGGCAAATAGGACAGCAAATGTGTAGCCATGTTCATCTTTTAGACTTCCATTCTGCTGCCTTATTTCATTTAGGAACCACACCTGTGTTTTAGGTAAACATGGAATGTGGACAGAGGCATTTTCTTGCTTTAAAGTTCTTAAGATGATTTGAAGCCACTGATAATTCTTATTTTCTGTGTGTCTATAGGAAAATATACAAACTCCCTTCATATGCTGGGAAATAATTGCAAAGTCCTTGTCCCACTAAATCATATATGGGATCTTAAAATACTGAGTAAAAGTTAATCTCAGAAAGGAAATGGCCTTCAGCTATTTGACAACTGTTCCTCTAAGACCCTTCAGGGATTGCTGGCCATTTATCACAGCTACTCACACTTGGTAATACAGTGACTTCCCAGATATGATAAGAAATGCTATCTGAATACCATTCACCATGCTCATATTTGAATAGTGTTGAGGCTGCTGGACTTTGGTCCCCTTTGAGTGACTCGTTACTCATCAGGTAAGTGACCAGAGATCACTCCATCCTGATGAAGAAGGCACATTGTGGACTAAAGCTGGTCTTCCTTGTTCATTCTCACATATGCACAGGCTCACCACACCTGCAGTACACATGTGCAAAGGAATCTCAGTCATAGACTCCAAATTAGAACTCCTGTTTTACTTTAACAGGTATTTGTTGATGATATACCAAATGCCTGGTAGGGATGGTTCAACATCCATTAAAAGTCTGTCCTGTTGGAACATGTGGTATAAGGGATGAATGCTGCAGGTAGATGGTGGGAAAGCATCCTGAGGCAGGAGGAGCCTGTGTGATGTTTTCACTGAACCCCAGAAGCACTGCCCCCCACCCTGAGCTTCTCCCATTGCTCCAGGCCCCTATTAGTACAGATCCCCAAACTTGTACTCAACCCCCTCCTGAAATGAGCATGAGCTAATGTTAGCAGCAGCTGCATCCTGCTAGGGGAGTTCTCTGTGCCAAGAGAGGAACTGTGCTCCAGTTCCTTCAGAACACATAAGAATGAGGCGAGGAGACCAGAAGAGAAGGGAGGGAAAGAAGCAAATTGAAAGCCCGAGACCCTCCTTCAGGCCATTGCCCAAGTCTGAGAGCTTCTGAGGATGGAATGAGCCACATATAAAAGGGTTTCCTGATGCACTAGCAAAACCTGCTGAGAGGCCTGGCAACAGTTCCTGGGGGGTTGTGATGCTTTCTCACAGATATGTTTCATGTCCAGTGACTGGAGACCATGTGTGCACACACAACACGGGACCCCAGTAGTCCATGCCTTACACAGATGTACCCTGAAGACAACAGCAACCAGATATTTGGCCTGGCTACAGCCCTGACTATCCCATAGACACAGTCCTCTGGCAAAGAACAGGTTATGAAGTCACAATTCACCTCTATACTCACCAAATGCTGCATACCACTAGCATATTGAGATGAACAGAACTGGGTCATCAAGCCTTTATCAAACAGAGAAGCATAACTTGGGCCCTGACTCCTACAGGCAGTAGGTGAGCCCCTAGCCCCACACAACTCCAAGAAACCATCAGTCACCCTTCTTAGCATTCTGTTGTGATCAATGTTGGAAATTGATCTAACATTATAAAGGGACTGAAGGAGGACAGCTTGACCAGGATTTGCACTTCATGGTTCCTTGACAGCAGATTCCCATCATGTGTCTTTCTTACATGGTCCTCCGCCATAGCCATTTCTGTTCCTGTTTGTCCCTCAACACCTATTATGAGGAAATTTCCCCACCTCATGGGTTCATGGCAACATTGAGTCAAGTTAACTGAACTTTCTGTGAATTATAGCACCCTGAAGATATCAGCTAACCTTTAGGTGAGGTTCATCTAAAGATGAGTTCTGTCTGTCCTGTGCCCTCTCTGTCATTCAACATGTACCCCAAAGATGTCCGCTGACCCTTATCCTTGTCCTCTTTTCACAGGTACCTGGCTCTCTATGCATACAAGCCCCAGAAGAATGATGAGCTAGAGTTGCGCAAGGGTGAGATGTACCGTGTGCTGGAGAAGTGTCAGGACGGCTGGTTCAAGGGGGCATCACTAAAAACAGGGGTCTCGGGGGTGTTTCCTGGGAACTACGTGACACCTGTCTCCAGGTGAGAGCCTGACCTACATTTCCTCGATGCTAAAGAAACCCTGGAGGCCACACTGTAGACTGGTCCCTGGTTACACAGTCCAGAGGCAGTGTAGACATTTGAGGTCCTTTGGGGAGGGGCCCCTCTGCCAAACTTGGTTTTGCAGTCTTTCTCAGTGAACACTGACTACCCAATGGATACGTATGGGAGCAGGAAAAGGAGTAAGCAGCAGCAGCTGAGATGGGGAGATGGATTGGGAAGGTTGTCAGAGAGCAAGATATTCAGGGTATAAGCTTATAAACAAGGTCAGTGTGTATGCATGTATATACAATGTGTACAGGATGTTATCAAGTATGCATGATCATCTAGGTACTCACGTGTGTATGCAATGAGAATGGGTCATGTGCATGCTTACAGTAGAATTATGATATCTGTATAAGCATGATAATGTGTGCCCAACATTGATGTATGCACGCATATGTGCACAATATGTACATGTATTAGAGTTTGATATGTATATAATATGTGCATATAAATACATGTAGTGGTGTAGGCATAATGCACTTGTATGTGTATATGCAGTATAGACATAGCATGTAGGTATGCATTTGTACTGTGAGCATAACATGTGTACACATGTATGTCACATATATATTTGTAGTATGAGCATAGCATGCATATATATGTATATGTAAAACACACACAACCATATAAAGGAAAGTGATAAATGCCTTAAAGTAACAATTTTTAATGAGTGATAGAATTATGAGTAATTTTTTAAGAAAATCCCCTCCTTTTGCTTTCTAGCATTTCAACAAATCACAATTATATAACTTTATAAAATAAGAAAAGTGATTTCTAAAATTTACTGAAGAGGAAGCCCAAAGTTGTTAAAATTTTCCATTGTGTTGTGAGGTCCACTGATGGAGTATAAGCTAACCCTTAAAACAGCCCATGTCAACACTAGCACACATACCTGCCTGTCTTAAGTGACTTCAGAAGGTTCCTGGCAGGACAAATTGCTGGTGTTGTGGCTTAAGTTGCATGGATAGTCTGCAGCCGGGGCTTCATGGAGGATACACAGAGGCCTGAGGGGAAGGGCTGCCCTGAGGTCTTGGAGAAAGAGGGTTATATAGACAAGAAAAGTGGTGAGAGATCCTTCACTTAGGGAGCCATCATCAGGAAGGAACATGAGGCGTAAGCTTGGAACCTTCAGGAGATTCTCAAAGCCTAAGTCATGCTGCATGGACAGAGGGATGGCTGCTTAGGACATCAGCTCCCAGCAAGCTTCTTGGGGACTCTTGACTAGTGCAGAACAACTAGATCAGTGCTTCTGATATCCCTACTAAATACAGGTGAAGCTCCTGTCTGGGGTCCTCAGATGGAGATGGAGGGAATGTGACCAGCTGAAATGGTCCCTCACATACACCAAGTGTGTTGTGTTCTCACCTCTTCTACTTCCTAATGAAACTTGCCATCCCTTTTGGGAACTTGTTCTTAAGTCTACTTGCTAAGGAAAGCCTTAGCCCACGGCCCTGTCCAGAGACTGTGGGTGCTGCTCACTATGGATCATGAATAAGTGTGCAGAGCCTGCTGGCCCTTTACATGGCAGCCATTTCCTGTTTTGTACACTGAGCTCATTGAATGCCATTTATATATACAAAGTGTTCAATAAGTGCCAGCTGAATAAATCAATGAAATCTGATAGTTCATATTAAATTTTGTTGTTAGGATTATCCACATCCTACCATAGCTTTGCTATGGGAGGACTTAGCTGGAATGAAACTAGAATTCTTTGGACAACCTGAGCCACATTAGCCTGTGTATCTCATGAATTGCACCCACTTCCCATGAGCCCATCTGTCTTCAACTGGGTGTACTGTTTTGTTTTTGTTTTATTTTAAAGTAGTTCAGAGCCAATGAGAACAAAAAGCAGACATCCCTGGCGGGTCTAACTCTGGTGACTGAAGAACTGGGAGGTCCCTGGTGTCCTCTGTAGTTCCTCAAGAGAACGAATTGCCAGGAGCCCCCACTCAGTATCTCAGAGGCATGGGATTCTCCACCAGGCTCACCACACACCCCAACATAGAAAGGCTGGTTTTGGTCTTAGAGAGGCAGAGGGCTGTCCTCAAGGCTCTGTTTCAAGACTGATGGACAGCCTCCATGTGCAGAGCCAAAGTTGCCAAAGTAGTCTGAGCCTGAGAGGTACACACTTGAGCTGTTTTACAGCTGTCACCTACAAAAGACATTCAGGCAGTTCTTTCTAATTGTTTGTTTGGGGTCTACTTATTTACTTGCTTCCTTGCTTTCTTTTATAACAAAAGGCAAGTCTGGTCTTGCCTACTAGGGCACTTGTAAAAATAAGTGTGAGCATGCAGTAAGGAAATATGGGCTGGCTGGAGCATGCCTGGCCAGACCGCTGTAACAGACTGCTGCTACTGAGATGAATGGGGCCTCAGTTTCTGCGGGAGGCACGTGTGCAGTCCATTGCCTTTAGCCTTGTTAACATAGCCTTGCAAATATAAGACCCAGACTTTGAAGCTCATCTGTTTGGTTTGTAAAGATCAAGCATGGGGTTACAACAGTGGTTAAATGCATGATGTAGACTGACCCATTGGCAGGGCCACTCATTCACTAAAGGCAAATTTCAGACTAGCTCTGAGGATGGGGAAGGACCACAGTGCCAGTAACCCCTTAATGGAGGTCCCCTTTCTGGAAGGCCCTTCTTCTTCCCCATAACTGCTACACAGACAGTCTGAGTTCAGCAGGGTTCTTCCTGCAGAAGTCCCCACCCAGGCCACAGGGTGATAAGAGTACACATGGTCCAGAAAAATGTCAGTGTTGGGCAGAACTACTCTTCTCCCATCATGCCTTCTGCTGTCAGAAGAAAGAAATTCTAAAGGAATGGGAATTGGACTTTGCCTCCTGGCACATTTTAATCACCCTTAATCACAACCTACAGAAACCACCCATGAGCCCCAGAAGCTGTCCTCAGAGCCAAAGTAAATGCATGTGTAGAGAGAGTTAAAAGCCATTTCCATCTTTTGTAGAGGGCTTCCATCTGGGAGCTTTGGGGTGAAAGTGTCTGTCTCAGGTATAAAACTGAAAGTTCCTTAGTGTTTTCAGGGGGTAATAGTATTACTCATGCCCATACAGTGGATGGCAGAAATAAGATGGAGGCATGTTTCGGAGAAGCCACCGTCAAGTCCCACCATGCTCTAAAAGTACCAGTCTTGCGAAACATGAGTCCACTGTCTTTCTAGTAATGTTTAGAAGTGAATAGCTTTTGGTTAGGAAACACCAATCACAGCCAAGGCCACCATGCTGCTCAACTTGACCTCTGGGCATTCTTTAACTAAAGCATTGGCTTGATATTGTCTTAGGACTTCCATGGACCACTTGATCTTGATCTCTCAGAGCCTGTAGGTTTTTTGCTGACATGGCCTGAATTTACCTGTGCCTACTCACTCACTTGGTTCTGCTTATTTCCCCAGGATTCCTGGAGGAGGGGCTGGGTCACCCTGGAATAATGTACTTGGAGGGTCTCCACTGGCCAAGGGGATGGCCACCATTATGCACCCTGGAGGTGGCAGTTTGAGCAGCCCAGCCACTGCCACCAGGACTGTTCTGCCTCTCACCACACTGCAGGATCATATGCAGCACCCAGCCACCTCCCTATCTACTGGTAGCTGCCTTCGGCACACTGCTCAATCAACAGTCAACCAAGCCGGGGGCACCACTAACCCAACAGGTACAAACACAAACTCCCAGGGATTCTCCTTGACAGTAATCAAGTATGTGACACCTGGAATGCAGAGCATGGGATCTCTTTTGGGCAGTGTCTCTCACAAGCCAGCATGTAGGGAGAGTTGGGTTTGCTTCCTATAACCTGGAATCTCTGATCTCCAGTGCCCTGAGCTGGCAGTTGAATGGGCACAGACACTTGCAGATTGTCTTGTGGCATGCAAGAAGGTGATAAAGATTGGCAAAGTGTCTTTTGATGCCTTTCTTAATGATGTAACTATAGATGCCCATGGATGTCTTTGCTGTTGGGTGTGATAAGGTTTCCTAGAAGGCAATGTCTTCCAGGAGAGGTTGGATGAGAAGCATATCGTGAATGGCATCATCAGTCCAGTAAGTTGATGAAACAGAAGGACCAGTAAGACTGCTCTATGAGAGGGAAAGAAACCATGGATAAACCATAAAGAGAAAAAGAAAATAAATGACACTACTTGGAAGCTTACCATGGAGCTAGTAACAACTACTTAAATGGCAACATATTTTGGGAAGCCACATCATCATGGCCCTGCAGAGCCAGTGACATTGCCATTCCCCAGTGAAAATAACATAAATGGAAAGGGTGTAACCAATGTTTCTATTCCCTCCTTTCCCCACCATCCAAGAAACTCTCTTTTCCTCAAAGTACAGATGAGGAAAAAGCAGGAATCCTTGGGAGCCCAGATACAGCATTTGTAGATGAGCTGCCAAGACCATGGTCACTAGGGGGCTCCAGAAAGCAGTTCCCTGTATGTGAGACCATACTGCTCTGTGCTTGTATTTTCTCTAGTCTCTACTCATGGGACTGAGTAGGTTTGGGGAGGGATTTTGTCAAAACTCATGGTCCATTCATCCACCCACAGGACCTGAGACTCAAAGATATGCTGCCTGCATACTCATAAGTGGAGGCCTACATGGGGCAAGAAGGGCTGGCGAGTCCTTGCAGTCTGTCAATGTGGTTCATTCTGAGAGCCTTGTAGTTATCATGCCTGCTGGCTAGACAGGATGCCATCCCTACTCTTGGGTTCCCACCTGCTAACTGGCAGGTTAACTACCTGTCCCTCAGGGAACTGATGCCATCTTGGTGGGAGGCTGCAGGTTCTGGTGGAGGCAAGATCAAGGTGGGACATGTACAAAAGAATGGGAGCAGGGAAAATACCAGGATGAAGAGCCAAGAATTCAAACAGTGGAAGGAGGAAGGACATGCTCAAGGTGAAGGGAAAGGAATTATCAAAGGAGACATGGGAGATAGGGTCTTCATGCAAATGCCTGCAAGAACCATTTTCTTTACTTTCATGTGATTACAGATGCCCATGGTCAATGAGCAGGGAAAGCATAGTGTAATGAGAGGGATAGGGAGATAAAGAGAGAACTACATTCACATAACCTACTAATACTTGTTGTATTTTATTACTAGTTACTGTTATCAATCCCACAATATATCTACTTTATAAGTTAAAGGGTATTATAAGCATGTATGGATATGAAAAATCAGAATATATAGTTAAGTACTAACTGTGTGATTTGAGATAAACAAAGGGGATCTTAGGATAGCTCCTTCTAATAGAGGACAACTGCAGAGTATACAAAAGCCTAGTTGAACACAGGAGTTTGAGAAGCAGACAGACCTGCTTTCAAATTCTGGTGCTTCCAACATCACTAGAGCCTCCACTTCTCCTTCTGTAAAATGGGAAGATAGGGTATGTTCATTGTCTAGGATGAGTGTGTGTAGATGCTATTAATATGCACTCAACAACTCTTGGCTATTCCATAGAGGATAAGGATGTCTAATACATGCAAAGGAAAACGACAATAGGAATCATCACTAAAAGTTCTAAGAAGTATAGGATTTTAGGGCTGTGCAAGTGGTCTGAGGGACTTTAAACCAGGGTATAGCAGGGTATACCATGATACAAGGAAGAGACCTGGTATACGGAACCAGGGCCTAAACCAGGAGCTATCCAGAGATAAATGGTAAGCAGCTTCAAGGGGTCTGATCCTGCACAGCATGGGCAGAAGGCAACAAGCAACTTCTGAGGTACTGTAGCTCTGTCTGAGATAGGAACTCCAGGGATGGACTCAGGGATCTGGAGGAACCAAGTCCAGAATCCAGATTCTGAAACTGGTTACCTTGGGAGTGTGACAGTATCATGCCTGTCCAAGAGGAAGTGGCTTATGAGAAGTTGATAAACCAGGTTCAGACATGTGGCTTTGAGAGATGTAGCAGGCATGGTGAACTCTGGGTGTTCTAGCTACCTTGAAAAAATATTCCAATTTGAGAGTGATATCCTACATTAAAGATATCTCTGTCTCTCTCACTCACTCCCTTTGTCTCTCCCTATATCTTTCTGTGTCATCTTTCTGTGTCTCACAAACATACTCTACACATGGTAGAAGGCAGCTTCATAGGCCCAAGCTTCTGTTAGTAGGGAAGAGGCATTTGATCCTCTGGAGATACATGTCCCTGTATTGCCAGAGCTGGGTATAGGAAAATATGTTCCTATACATGCTTTCCCTGAGAAAAGAAAACACAAGGCGGGAGCCATGTAGATCTTTGGGAGTGAAAGAAATAATTCAGGTTTTAAGGGATAACAAGACAGAACTCTAGTGCACCATCACTAGTGATGCCTAGTATCCTCAGTGGGTTCAGGGTGGACTCTGGTACCCAGTGTCTAACACCATCAGTGAAAATAGGGTGGACTTGGATACCTGCTATCCAACATCATCAGTGAGTTCAGAGTGAAGTTCTTGTGAATTTTATGATGGTATCTGTCTTAGTTAGGCTTTCTACTGCTGTGAAGAGACACCATGACCACAGCAACTCTTAAAAAAACATTCAATTGGAGTGGCTTACATTTTCAGAGGGTTACTCCATTATCATCATGGTGGGACAGGTGGTATGCAGGCAGACATGGTACTGGACTCGGAGTCCTATATCTTGATTGCCAGGCAACAGGAAGTGAACTGAGACACTAGGCATGACTTGAACATATATGAGACTTCAAAGCCTACCTCCACAGTGACACGCTTCCTCTAACAAGGCCATATCTAACTCTCACAAAGCCACAACTCCTAATAGTGCCACTCCCTTTGGGAGCCATTTTCTTTCAAACCACCACTGTATCCATGTCAAAAAGAAACACAATTGGCACAAAGCAAGGTTTGAAAAGACATCCAGTGACACAGAGAACTCTATAACTATCCACAGGTCTTTCATGAGTATCTGTGTTTGCTTATATTAGCCAAAATTCCAGTCTATATTATGCAACCTTAGCCTGTGGCAACCTGAAAGCACAGCTGTGTACATCACAAGTGCTCTGCAGCCATCTCACCTTCTCCCAGACCCCTTATCCCTTTCTCTAACCCCAACCATGCTGATGTGTACAGCATTATACTGAGGGTTCCTTGGCACCTTAAAATTAGAGATACAGTTGTTGTGTCTGGCTGATCATTTTCAGTTGAGTTTCCGGACTCATCAGCATTCTAAGATGTTGAACTCAAAACTGCTGAACTAGAGAGTGCTACCATTCTCCTGGTTACAAGTATCTCACCATTCATTCAGCCCAGCCAGCATGCCAGAAGCGTGTCTAAACTGAGCGACCCTGTTGGCATAGCAGTCATGGGTTATCTGCATCAATTAGCCAGAATAATGGTCTTTCCACACCAAGCTTCTCAAAAAGAAAATGAAACCCTGCCAGTCATTACTCCTGCATGCAATGACAAGCAGTATCAAAAGAAATTGGTTTGGCTCGGGGCAGCATAACATGGTGCACAATCCATCACCATAGCAACCACGATGGTGTGACAAGTATTCTCTTCTATTGGTTTCATTTTACATGTGAGGAGAGTGAGACATGGGATGGCTAAGTGGCTCCCCCAGTGCTCTAACCCAATGCTTGTCCATATGCCATTGTGCTGTTGTCGTGGCCAGGTTAAAGAATGGCTCCTACCAAGGCATATCAGTATATTAAATGCCATTAGGTTCCCACAGCATTTCACACTTTGTTCTGCATTTATAGAGAGAAAAACACTGTTGACTGTGCAAGTAATGGATTGTTCACTGCAGTAATTGCCCATTTTAGCAGTTCCTAGCCCTGAGTTGGGAGGCGTTTTAACAATATCCTCATCTGGGGCCCAAGGTAGGCTGTTTGACAAAGGTTTAATTGCATTGGCTGTAGCATTCAATATGATAGTACTTCCCTTACTATATACTTAATGTACCTCCCCTTTGCAAGGGCAGAGAACTCCCTGCATAGTGCCTATGTTCTTTATGTACTCATGTTAGCACTTTACAGGGGTGGGAGCCCCATACAGACATCGCTTCATCAAGAACAAATTGCAGAAAGCAAAACAGACAAAAATCAGCACCCAGGAAAGGACTAGGTGTAGACACAGGGCTCCATAGGGATTGGAGGAAGACAGAGGAGACCATACACCCTATCACTGCCCAGTTAGAGGAAGGGGCAGGACACAAGTTCCTACAGTAGTTTGAAAATACCATGGGTGAGATGTTAAGAAAACATGAAAAGGATCAATTCATTCATTCAAACCCACAGGAAAGAAGGAGGAGATGGGGGAAAGTTCAGGCAAAGTTTTCAAGAGATCATAATCCCTGCACCCTCCAAAGGTGGTAGGTGCTGTGTAGGCACAGAGGGTGATAAGTGTTCAGGCAGAAGGACTAGCCAGGGCAAAGGCATGGCAGTGAAAAACAAAATAGTTCCTCTTCAGGGTAATTTAATTCAGTTTGTTTGGGGACCAAGGTTTATGAGGAACAGTCCAGTGTGGGTGGACAATTTCTCTGCAGAGATGAATATTAAATCTGAAGGACTTATGGAACTCAGTGTGTAAGGGTAGATGGAGAGGGGGTGTCCAGACAGAGATAAGGCATGTGCAGAGACCTGAGGCATTGGGAAAGTGAGAAAGGTTGGTGTGGAAGAACCAAGAAAGGCTGTAGTTGGCAGAAAGGCAAGCAGG